GGAGGTTGCGGTGAGCCGAGATCGCGCCATTGCACTCCAGCCTGGGTAACAAGAGCGAAACTCCGTCTCAAAAAAAAAAAAAAAAAAAAACTTATTTTAAGAAACAAACACCCCATGTCTCCCTTTTTGCCTCAGCCTCCAAAAGTGCAGAAAAAAAAAAAAAAAAAAAAAAAAATCTTATTTTAAGCCAGACAGCTCATGTCTGCACTTTTGGAGGCTGAGGCTGGCAGATCACTTGAGGCCAGGACTTCGAGACCAGCCTGGGCAACATGGCAAAACCCCATCTCTCCTAAAAATAAAAAATTTTTTAAAAATTAAAATTAGCCAGGTGTGGTGGTGCATGCATGTAGTCTCAGCTACTTAGGAGGCTGAGGCATGAGAATCACTTGAGCCTGGGAGGCAGAGGTTGCAGTGAGCTGAGATGGCACCACTGCACTCCAGCCTGGGTGACGGAGTAAGACATTGTCCCCCCTACACCACCAAAAAAAATACTTTTGTCATTTCTCTTTATTTAAAACATATTCAGTCATGTTTAACAAATTCTTTTTTTAAAAAATCACAAAATGTGTAATATTCCGTTTCAAAGAACAATTGAAAAATCAAAAGAACAAAGAACTTTAAAATCAGGTTCAAAGTTTATGAAGAGAAATTGAATTTCAGTAATCAAGAGATTAAGGAAAATGGCATTAGAGTTCTAGAAGAAACAAGATTAACTTCAAACAAAGAAATAATATCAGGATTGGTCAGTCCACTATGCTTCATGCTGGATCTCAGCAGTTCCAGCCAGCTCTTGCCTAAATTACTTTCTGCCCTGGAAGCAAAAACTCTCATTTGTAACTTTTAAAAGGAAGACTATCAAAACATGACCTGAGAACTGGTAATGTTATTTATCTGTAAAAATATATTATTTTCACACCTTGGAGCCTTTACTGCACTGTTCTTGTTGGGAATGTACCTTGAGGACTGGAACCACAGCTCATTGCTCTTTTCATTCTCTGTTCTAATCACA